TCCACCAATCGCACTACCCCGACACCCCCGACGAACGCACACTCGCAGCGCTCGCCCGCCAGGAAGAAGAAGAGCGACGAAAGTTTGAATGGCTGGTTCCTGAACACCTTCCTAATAGTCCGCTGTGCCCTCTGCATCCGAAGTATAGGGGGCCCAGTGCGGACTTGTGTTACTGGCATGGACGCAGGTCTGGTAATGAGATTAGGAAGGGGGAGTATGGGGGGTTGGGGGCGAAGGGGGTTTGGAATAGCGCGAGTGGGAGTAGTGGATATAGCCAGCATGACTATGGTTTTGGGGATAATGGAGTGGCTGGGGGTATGCCCAGGCTCGCGGGGACGCCGAGTAGGGAGGTGAAGAAGAGGAGATTGATCAGCTTGTCTAATTCTTAAGTGCTAGAGTTGTTGTTGATGTCAAGTTAAAAGGCCTCTTGAGAGAGGTGAAGAGGATTAAACATCACGACTGAGAGAGAAATGATGTTTACATACGAGAAGATGAATTCTAGACACGCAATTACCGTCTACTAAACCGTCGTACCTCATGAAATGCGCCAGTGAAGGAGCCCGTCTATCGTAATGCGAGTGCGCTCGGCACCATGCGCCGTTGTCCCTCAAGACTTCTTGTACGCACTAGCAGGCTTCGCTATCTTGCCGGCATCGCTCCACAACTGCTCCCTCTCACGGATGATCTGCTGCGCCCATGCCTTGACTTCCTCGCTCTTGATAACATCTGCGACCCACTGGAATTCCCCAAGATCATTCTCGCACTTGGACGTGCGCTCGTATTCGACCATCTGAACGAGAAGCTCAATCTTGTCAATGTCGTGCACAAAGTGCGACTCAGCCGTCTCGCTGTCCTCGTATTCCTGCCATAACGCCCTGATGTCCTGGCCGTTGAGTCCACCGTTGAACTTGCCCAGCAGGTTTGTGCAGATGTAGTCCATGGTCTCGGTCTCTCTCCTGCTCTTCTCCTCCTTGGAGATTCCGTCTACGGGTGTGATGTCACCGACAAGCGCCTCAGCCATGTCGTGGACAACAGCCATGCGACAGCATCGCGCGATGTCGAGCTTGGAGCTTATCGAGGCAGGAGCCATCATGGTGAGGATGCTCATGCGGTACATGTGGTCGGATATGGACTCGCCATCGCCGATTTCGAAACGCTGCCATCCTGCACGTTTGGTCGTCTTTAGGCGCTCGAGGAGGTGGAAGAAGGGGAGCGGTGAGTCGGTGTTTTCGGCGTACTTGAGTGCGTTCTCTGAAAGGACTTTGGGGTATGTTAGTAATGTGTGGATACAGGGCATGAGGGGTAAGAGAGGTGTCGCATACGGACGAGCTATTGCTTGTTCATGACATACCACTCTCGACTGTCCACTTCTTCTGTTCTGCTTTCTTCGCGTCAAGTACACCGGCGTTGGGGTCGGGCACGCCGTTGACCTGGGTTGCTTCGTCGACTGTCATGATTGCTTGGTGTCTCGAAATCGGTTCGGGGTCGGAGGTTTATAGCGGCCCAGAGGGGTGCGTGATTGTCTTATAAACGGTGACTGTTTGGCGAGTGAAGAATGGCGGGACAAGTGACGAAAGTCAGACAGGCAACAGAAGGCGCGAACGGACCTATCGATAACACCCGCCTTGGCAAACAACGCAAGGGTCCCGTCACACCGCAACACCACGCATGCACCCCAAGTCTCAGGAACTTTGACCAGGGTCGCCGCGCGAATGTATGCTCTGCGGTCGCGAACATGTCTCGACCGCCCTCAACCGCCTCTACGGCCACCGCGACTACCATGAGCGGCCATGCGCGCACCGCGTCGGTCAAGACAATTCCCAAACCTCAAGCCGTGAACCCAATAGCAGCGCCCGATATTCGCCTGTTCGTAACCAATTTGCGATTGTTGGATTTGGATTTGCGACCGGATTGGCCTGAAATCACGATACAAACTTTCTCGGCAAAGAATGCAGACCAGCGACAGAGAATTGGCGGGGCTGAATGGGCACTATTTCGACTCTTCGAGATATGGGATCCCAATGAGACAGCACAGGTATGCTGGGATGAAACCTCACGCTGATCTATGTCTGACTCAGCTACAGAAACTCCAACCCTTCTTCCCGCCACTCGAACCACTTCAATCGTTAAACCTCCGCGCTGCGCTATACCGATGTCTGAACGAATTGAAGAAGAACGGCGTTTTGGGAAGAGAGTCAGTTCTTAGGAAAACAATGCTTGACGAGTGCAAGGGCGAGAAATTCTACGAGATACTGGCTATATTTTCGAATGTCGTACTCAAAAAGGTGCTTGCAGCGCAAGACGGAGGGGACAGAGATGCCGTTGTCGCAAGAAAACTGGCGACAGCGTCAGCGCTCTCAGTTGAACAACAACGGTCGTTACTGCCCCTAGCGATCGCACACAAGGCAGCGCTCGTCAACGTGCTGAGACAGAAAGAAGAGAAGAGGTTGAAGTACATGGAATTCCATGGTCTTCTGGACAAAAAGGCAGCAGATATCCGGGGTCGCATACGCAAATGCAAAGATACCCCTCGAGCGCAAAAGCCAGCGATACCACGGAAAGAAGCCAATGCCATCAAGAAACAGCTCAAGGACAACTGGGTTGGCAACCAACAGTGGCTCGACGTAATGCTACGCGGCGAGAACGTACAGGCGGACGATGCATTCCTAAACAGCCGTTTCGACAAAGTCTTGCATATGGTGGAAAAAGGCAGAAAATTAGAAGACGTCGCGCCTGAAACTGGATTACTGGAGAATCTGCAAGCAAGAGTGCAAGAGCAGCAGGAGAGGTTACAAAAGTGGAAGGCCTTCCATGCTGAGCTACAAAACGACGAGTCAGGAAAGGAAACATCAGAAAGCGGACAGACTACGGCGCCAGTAAAGGAGTTCCACTTCGATGACCACTCGCAATATCAATTGCCGTCGGCGAAGCACACAGCAGAATCTGCGAGTGTAAAGCGGCCGACTATACGAACAGAGTTTCAAGACATCCTGTCTGATATGGACAGTGAGCTGGCGCGAGCCGCCAAAGTCAGGGCTAGTACTGCATCCACAATTATACATCATAGAAGTACCTCGACGGCAAAAACTGCTCGCCCACCACTTCTCACAAGGAAATCTACTCAGACGGAGACGATACGCAAAGCACCAGTGATTCCAGCTAAGCCTGTCAAATTACAGTCACCATCAAGACCAAACTCGTTAGAACATGTTCCAGTCCTACCCAGACCATCTCGGCACGTTCCGACAACTGCCACACCAATCGACTCAGAGGCCACACTAATTGGTCAATCATCTGCGTTGAGTAGAGCTACGACTCAGCACGACGCATCGCCGACGGAGACTGATAACGAGCGCACACCAGTACCGGAGACTAGATCTGCTGTTTCCGAATCAGTCGTCGACAACTCACCTCCTGAAGCTGCCAAGACACTTACTAATTACTCAGAGCAAAAAACAGATCTCTCTCCTGAAAAGCTACTTGAGCCATCGCCACAATACCCCTCTGAACCACCAATCCCAACTTTCGATCCCCCAGAACTCAATGCTGAAGAAGCACTTGCCGACCAGATCATCAACTCCATCGGTAATGCGACCCCATCTCCGATCAAGAAACCTCAACCACGTATGTCCCTTTCGCTCATCGAACGCACACGCATGACAATGGCACGGACAAACTCTTTCGAACCTGTTCCAGAGTCACCTGATCTCCCGTTGCCATCTATGGGACCACCACCGATCCCTTCCATCACTGGAGATGAAGACGGCGACCGACGCGCAACACTGGCCGAACGAACCCGGCTCACCATGGAAGCCATGCAATCCAACCCCCGCCCCACCGCCACAGCAAAGAAGGAACAGCGTAAATCTAGCCGATCATCACTCTTCCCCGTCAACCAATTTGATACACCCCGGAACCGCAAATCGTTCGAACTCCTAGAACAAGCAAAGCTCGAGAGCATCGAGCGTACACCCACCGAGCAACTATTCAGTGACGAAGTGGATTACGATAGGGTGTTCAAGTCAAGACCGAAGATTGCCACAAGTCCGGTCTGGAGTCCTGAAGGCGGCGTTGGTGGTCAGGAAGAGTTTGGAAGTGACGGTGAAGATGTGGATGGTGTTACGGGTATCGATCTCGGAGATGTGGATCAGGACGATGACGGAGAGGATAGGTTCAAAGAGAGTTGGATGGATAGTCCTAGTCATAAGAAGGGGGTGAGGAGTATGAGGTACTAGATACGAGAGGAGGTACAATTGTAAATGACATATCATCGCCAGTGTTGGTGTTGACACTGATTCTCCATTTTTACTGCAAGAGCACGGCAGCACGATGAGCCAAGCTCAGTGTCATAAGACTGCGAATCTCCTGGTCATCCATACATACTGAGCACATGACATAATGGCATCAGAGTACCAGTTGGGCTAGTCTTCTCTCAAGCCATATAGGCCCTGCTGCAGGGTGAGTTTCACATACCGGGCACATTCATAATCACTTTCGCGTACCACGACTGCTATTGGCTCCTAAGCTATGCAAAGCTTACCACCAGATAGCCACGTCCGTGCCGCAATGGCGAACACCGCAGAACGCCCCGCCATGCCTCTCTCTCATCGCGACAGATACATTCCAGGCTAAACACAGTCATTTTCTGATGTAAGCGTAACTGCACGTTCATTGCGCAGTCATCCTCAGTAAATTTCCCTGAAAGTACAACTGTTGGAGCGCGATGAAGCTGCTTGATCTTCCCAGAGAGCTTTTCGAAACGATCCTACACTATGCCATTCTCACCCGAGGAACGAAAAGAGGGCTGCGCTTGAGACTGATAAACCGTACGATGCAGTCTTTCATGATCCGAGATTCCACACTGACAGCCGCTAGGTTACTTCGCGAGTGAGGTGACGCGCGCACTTCATATCTTCCGCCTGCTCGATGGAATCATGTTTCGCGTTCCCTACTCTTAGGAAGAAATCCACTTCTTCCAATCTTATCGAGAATACCGAATCATGCATGAGGCTTTGAACGGAAACCCCTTCCTGAACGATGTCCGGAACGTGGCGCTACAGATAGCATTGATGCGCGACATCCACGAGGAAGATGAAGGCGTCGTTACGAACATAGTCCAGACTCTATGCGCAACGATAGAAACCAGCGCAGATTCCCGGTCCCGCTGGAGAAACGAATTCAACCGCCCACAGAAGTGGGATTCTCCCGGATTCGAGAAACAGCTCTTTGGTGCGGCGCTTTGCACCAATAGCCTTTCGTACATTCGGCGGTCTGCGGCGCTACGGGATGCCATGTTGTCAAAAATTACATGCCCTGAAAACAGCTGCGTATTTGGAACGTTCTTTGAGCTGACAGGAAAGCTCGGCAACAAGGAACTTCTTGACTACCTCATGACAAACGCACCATCTGAGTCCGGCCCAGAGGTTAGGTTCGAGCTTTTCAAACATGCAGCACAAGCTGGCAGGATAGACATCGCTCGGTTCCTCCATGGGTATCGTAGCGAAGAGTGGCAATGGAATTTTGAATCCGATATCAAGGGGAACAAAAGGCTGCTGAACTTCACTCTCGACGGCGGTCATAATCCTGAGGTTTATGACCTTATCCAGACTATGCGCACGGCTCAAGGCTTGCGACGGACGCCAAGTGATACTATGGACATTAAATTCTACGGCAGCGCAAAAGTTGGGTATATAGACATGGTGTCGCATCTCCTACGAATCGGCGAGTATGCCAATGGAGATCGAACTGGCATCCTCCATATAGCTGTCAAGTACGCTAGCGAACGCGGCCACGTAGCCATTGTCCAGCTTCTGTTAGATCATGGTGCGAATCCAAACATCACTCTCGAAGGTGCGGCGCGCCGCGGTCACGGGAAGCTCGTGCAAATGCTGCTGGATCGCGGAGTCATGCCGAGTGAGGCACTTATCGATGCAGGAAGATACTATACAGCACATGCTAAGCTTCTTGCGAATATCGAAAGAGGACCTTATCTGGACGTAGTGCGGCTCCTTCTTGATGCCGGTGTAGACGTCAACGAAAGCATTGGCAAGGACAGCTCTCTCGTCGGAGCAATCGCCGCAGAACATACAGCACTGTTTGAGTTCCTTCTCGAACGAGGAGCGGATCTGCATTCCCCTGGGACAGCAGAGGAGTGCGTACGAAGAGCGAAAAAGGATGGACTGGAGTCTATGCTACTGCTGCTCGAAAATCATGGGGTTGATGTCAATGTTGAGTTGGGAGAAGGGGCATGATTGAACGATATGACTTCTTTCGCGTGGAAGTAGGAACGTCCCATCTGTTGCACTTTCTAGTTGCGCTCCTAGACGTTTGTCTGATCAATGCATGTGGCATCAATCCAGAGCCATTCTTCAAGCAACCAGTGGTTTTATCTTAATCTTGCAACGAAGCCAAAGCCTACAAGCTGTGAGCGGTTCGCGAAGTCTCCCTATCCGTGACACCATGGCGATGACGCGAACGACGCGAAGAGAGCAGCCGCATCGCAGGGCCGTCATGTGACGACGCCGATTTTGTCCCTACATCAGCCACACGGGCGCATAGCCCGCTGCGATAGTCTCGATCAAGTTGGGCGAGTTTCACAAGGAAATCGAAAGAAAACCTCGCTTTATAGCTCTCTTTGTCGTTCGTCAATCGCAAGGAGCAGTCGTAGGGTCGCACAGTGAACTCCGTGGATTCCAGCTCCCGGGAGCGTATTCTTCTACTCCATCGGCCAGCGAAACCGGGAACGTGAGCTACCTCGTCAAGCTTGACGAAAGTATACTCGTAGGACTCGCATATTCTGCCCAGATAGAGATGTATCGACAGTAGCTTACTAGAAGGCGATACTACCACGAAGCCTGGTAAATGGGATTGCTGTGTACCGTCGCAACTTGGATAGCAACTATGATATGATTCGCTTGAGCACGAGGCGCGGAGAAAGTCTTCCGAGACGATAGGTAGCGTCATCGTTGCAAACGATGAGAGCCTGTCGTTCCAAGTCACATCGCTCGGATCCGGAGACTTCAGCTGTAGAATGAATGCAACCAGGTTGGTGGCGCACAAGCAGAACGACTTCTTGCAACACCTTAAGATTTGTTTTGCCACTGCGAGATCCGTAGCTTTGTAGTCGACCTGTAGGTCTTTCCCTTCGCCACAAAGCGCAAGTAGTGAATAGACACGATCCCGGCTAATGTGTGCCTCCTTGAGCTTAAATCGGTTCATCAAATAGATAAGACTTCTACCCTTCCAGTCCATAGTAATAGATTGGCGGAGAAGTTCGAGTCGTGCAGGGTAGCTTCCCCCAGTTGAAACTTCTGGGAAGAATAAAGCGTCCAGTTCGATGTCAGCGGCCATAAGCGTTATCTTCCGTGCAAGCCCGAGCTCTTGCGTAATCCATGCCCGATCCCAGTACTCAGCAACGCAAAGATGGTGAAAGCCCTGCCCAGATTCAGGATGTCCCAAAATCGGCGGTTTCTTATCTTTCGTGCGATCTTCGCTCATAGTACGTGGCCGCATGTACTCCAAGAACTCGGCGATATTGACGTCATCTCCCAGCCATGACACCACATTCTTCGCTCGGCTGAAAATCACACCCATTTGTTGTACCTGATGATTTCGTTCGGAAGAGTCGTTCTGGTTGATGCAGAGGGCGTCGATCCAGATCCACGCACGTGATAAGTGCTTAATTCGTCTCGCCCGTGTGAGAAATCGATGTAGGTTGTGACGCACTTTGAAGGTTTTGCCGTCTATAAGAATGGTATGGCGCTCGTCATCACCGCCCCATACATATGAGAGACAGATGTATGAGGCTTCTGTAGTAGCGTGTTTGATCTTGCATTGAACGTGACCGCCGGCGGACTTTTCGCTTAGGAGTCGTATGAGTCTGATTGAGGAAGCCTGTCGGTCCAAAGGCCGGTACTGAAAGGAACGATACATGCGTATGCTAACGCTCGAAACCAAATTTTTCGGGTGGCTGCTGGATCGTATGAAGTTCCGCGTGAAGAGATAAGGTAGCGGAAATGTGGACCTAGTATTGCTGACGATTAGAAGGATTGGGGCGGTGCCAGGGCACGGGTGTCGACAAATATGAGCAGGTAGCTCATAGAGGCGGTGCGTGTGCAAGCCGAGCGGGGCAGCTTAAGGCAGAAGGGCTACAAGCCATTCTCGATTCGAGCATACTGCTTACGCCGGTAACCCAGAAGACTGCCTCACAAGAAGATGCGCCTTTGATCCAGATTTGGGCCCGGAATTGGGTCGCGTTGATTTGCTACACACTTGTATAGTGTCCATGAGAATCAAAAGTATCCTGTATGCTTCGTGGTTATCATCATCTAGCTACACAGTGCTATGAGATAGCATGCTAACCGGGCTTTCAAAATGCCCGTATACCTACGAAATTTGAGGCGCGATGTGCTAGCGGATAGTCTGCAGTATGCGGAGGTGACATTCACGTCCGAGGCGAGCAGTTGGAATTGTTCCGTCGGTTGCAAAGATAGCGAGAGACTGCGACGGCCATGTTCATGGTTCTTGCAGAAATTGTGGTCGCAATGAACGAAGGCAGGCTGCCACCTGCGAGCCGGAGCCCCACATCGCCAGGACCGTGCGTTGACACGTTCGCCACCGGAAGACCTCGGGATAGACAACCCTCCATGGCCTAGACAACCGCACTTCTCACAAACGACACTTTACGCGCTTCATTTCACACGAAATGCAAACCTGGTATCGGCACCGTAACCGCAGCTTTTGGCCATCGTATGCCGATTTGAGGGCAGTCGGCTACCCGAACGATCGCCAGCCCAGATCAAAATCCACCACTCAATGACTTCGAGCTAATGGGTTGTAGCAAAAGGTCGCATACCTGGATGTGAAGAGATATGTCACTATTTAAGGAGCCGCTTGAGAAGATATGCTCGCATCGTAGCGGCCTCTGGCCAACATGGCAAAGCCCCCATTCCCGACAGTCTTTAGCAATCGTGAAACACAATTCTGTTCTCCTCATGTTACGCCATATCCTCATACTACCTAGGGCTCTCGCATTCCTCTTATGTCTTTGTGTCATCATCATCGGCCGCGTGCATAAAAATTACAGACAATGTGCTGCTCGGGGCTTTGGAATCATAGCGTTCACTTTCTCTAGTCATCTTGCCTTGGAAGGAGCAAGGACGTCGAAAGTGCACAGTTGCACTACATGATTTTCTGGTATATTTTTCGAATCATCGATTGGCTTGCTTCCATTTGCTTGTGTGCGAGACCGCTCTGTCACCGCCTCCTGCGCGAAATGCCTTTGGCTCCGTTTGTCACGGTTGCCTACCCAACAGCTTTTTCTGCTCTGAAGCCCACCTTCACCGCCAGTGCACACAAGCGGATTTTGCCTAGCATTCCTACGCAGCTTTACCCTTCCCTCTACCCACCCCATCGATTTCAGAGAGCTTGCGACACAACAACTACAGATTACCGTCAGACTCACACCATTCCCGTCGCCGAGAATGGCGCCCACGCCCTTGCTAGCCGATGCGTATCGCAAGTACAAGAGGGGTACCGAAAGTCTCGTTCAATGGCTAGCTGAGACAGCCCGCTCCACTGGTACAGTGGACAAGGTGTTCAGCGATACCGCGATACCGCCTCCGGGAGGCAGGCTGAAAGGAACTGCCAGGAAGGAGGCAAGGAATGCTCCACGCACTTGCCGAATCGCGACAAGATCGTTTGTTACTCTTGCTACTGCCATCGTCAGCGACAAGAAACTCTCCGTCCCAGCCTCGGTCTTGACAACCCTGCGGGCTGTGATACGAGGCCGCAGGGAGTGTGCAGTCTGGTACGCGACTGCCTGTGATTCCGAGGATGACGCGGTCAAAGCAGAAAATGCAAGCCACGCACATTTCATCAAGACATTAGAAAGCGTTCTGGAAATCCTTAAGGCCAAGAAGCCGGTAGTCAAAAAAGTGCAGCTCAAGACCATGGAGACCGGACTCCTACGCACAGGCAACGCATACCACGTCCTAGAAGAGAAGGAGCTTTCAGGATCCGACGATATACCTGAGATTACTGAGATCCAAGCTAAACCCGCCAAGACGAAGAACGTCACGTACAAGCTCGAAGAGTCTGATACCGACGTCATTTTCGCTGTCTACTGCTTCCTGAAGGACGTTACAGATCTCAGGATTGCAGTCAGGCGCACTTGGCGTGAGTTTGCGAACGGCGACATTGGTGTCCAGGCTGCCGCCCTTACCATGAACGTCGCCTTGAACATGATTAAGAAGGTCAGCGACGAGTTTGAGGCAGCTAACCCTCGATTCAACGATTCAGAGAATCGGAGCATACATAGCGATATGATTGACTTCGTATACCGCAGACGCCTCCCGACTAGACAAGGTTCGGCCTTCGATGCAGCCGACGGTAACGACGAACCTTATGCTTACAACGAAGAGAGGCAAATGTTACACCTCGACACTGTAATGTGCGTGCATACCACAGATATACTTCTTCTCACGTTCGGTAAAGAAAAAGACGAAGAGTTCCAGCTCACCAACGACGAGAAGAGATTCCTCAAGTGCGTTACGCAGCTTGCAGCATCACCCCCTATGCACCTTCGACTCATCGATGAATACATGGTGTACAAGGCTGCAAGAGCCATGCTTTCTGAGGGCCTTCAACAGAGTTGGATCATGTTCTCCCTGCAGATCTTCTGGGATATGCAGCGAGAGCTGGGGCCTCATCTGTCTGTGGGCGAATCGCTTCTCCACAGAACCGGAAGGCAGATTCTCGAAGGGTACCAGTCCTTCCTCGACTTCAAGGGTCTAGAGAAATTGGTTCACGGCTACGACATCCAATGCGGAAATGCCTTCGCGTACAAGAAATTTATCGAGAAATACATCGATAGCAAGAACGTTCAGATGTCGTTGGATGCTGATGAAGAAAGCGCGTTTCCAGAAGTCAAGCCCCGTAAGATACCTGGGTTTTCACTATTGAGGTGTGATCCCGCGTTCTGCGGGTTGTTGTTGGCTACCATACGCAAAGACAATCACGAACTCGCCATCGCCCTTGCATCGAACCAGGCTCACATTATCGGGATGGCTCATCTATACAACGCCACTCGATGCGCCGGACATCTACCCAAGAATCTGAAGTGGGCTGATATGGAATGGCTTATTGAGCAGCAAGGTAGCGATTGGATTTTCATGGGCAAGAAGCCAGAACCAGTCCTTGCAATCGGAAAACGCGCTATGCTGGTAATGGGAATCCTATACCATGAAGCACA